TCTCTCTCTCTCTCTCTCTCTCTCTCTCTCTCTGTGTGTCTCTGTGTGTGTGTGTGTGTCTGTGTGTGTGTGTGTGTGTGACGCAAACACAAATCAACAGAACTTGGCATAAGCTGCTCGTATGGACTCGTAACCAACGAGATAGAAGTCAATCGCAAGGATGCAAGCAGGGCGGGGGAAGTGCGCAATGACGGGAGCTGAAGCAGCCGGAGCTTAAAATCTGAAGATTTTGGGGAGTGAAGGACAGCGCCGGAGTAGGTCGCCATGGGGTAAGAGAAATGGGTAAGCAAGTGAAGACGGGTAATAAGACAGGATGTCGAAAGATGGAGAGTGCAAAAGCAAAGGGGGGAGGAGGAGGAGGAAGAGGGATAAAATCGCGGCTTACCTCTTTCGCGCGGAGCTGTTCACCTCTCCCCTGACGGAAAAGAAAGGTGCTGAGTCTTGGCGGCTTCTGCATCAATCCAGAGCAGCACAACGCTCATGTCTGCCCCCAGCTTCTCTCTCGTTATGTGGCAGGCACAGCACCCACACAAGCACCACGCACGCATGCACGCATGAACGCAAACCCGTAGCGAATAGGGTCCGTGCTTCGGCCCAAATGGTCGTTGGAAGAATGCTCGCAGCACGTCAGGATTCGCAGCCCGTCAGGGGTGCGTTATTTCCCCTTTTGAGACATGGAGACATTTTTTCGTCGTCCTTCGGTATACGGGTCGTTTGGTCGTTGGAAGGCTCGATAAATGCGAGAAGGTGCAGGTATGGCACTTCGGGGGATGGTGGCAGTTTGTCTGAAGCTGCCGGTGAGACCGCGCTTTGGGTTTTGGTCGGAACGGGTTTTGGTCGAAATCGAAAAGGTGGCAAGGGATGCCCTCAGACAAGGATGCCCCTTGGCACCCCTGCTCTTTGTCCTACAACTAGAGGTCTTGATACATAATATCCCATATCAGGACTCAGCATCCCCCACTCCATTCATTGGAAGGGGGGGGCTCTAGCAGACGACCTGACTATCGCATGTGCCAACACTGTCCCATCCTTCCACGCCCTGAGGGAAGTACTTGATGGGTACTGTCAGCTTTCCGAGGCGTCCATAAATTGGGAGAAATCTGCTTTCCTCCTTCCAGACCCGTTTGAGATATGGGTAGACTGGGGTTTAAAAAAGGTTCCATCCAACAGCTCTGACAGGTTCCTAGGGGTCCAGGTGTCTCTTTCTAACTGTTCAGCCACCCAAGATGCTATACTGGTGGAAAAAATAACGGCAAGAATCATGGGCTGGGCAATAAATTTTAGGCTCTCCTGATAGTGATATCTACAGCAGCCTTCTCCATCTTGTGGTTTCCATTAACGGTGCACCTCTTAGGAGAGGAAGCCTACCGCCAAATTAAATACATTGCGGCCAGATACATCTGGAAACCAGCTGCAACGGACGCACAAGGCTATTTGAGCAAAGTAGCTTGGGAATCCATCTGCCTCCCTAGAGAACAAGGAGGGTTGGGAATCCTAGACCCAGGCCAGCAAAATCTGGCCCTACTGGCCAAATGGCCTGTGCATGCAATGCAGGAAACCAAGTTGAAATTTTGGAAAGCGTTGGCTGAAGTTATTCTAATGAGGGAATGAAACCTATCCAAACCTTCACATGTTTGGTTATGTTTTTTCGTCAAGTCATTCTGTAATAGACAGATTAAATCGCCAACTTGGGGAAATATAATTAAAGCTTGGAAAAAAGTCTGCCCGTCTAGAGTCACGGAGCCGAATACCAAAACACAGTTTCTTAACCAGATAATTTTTTAGAACAACCTGATCAAACTCCCGGACGGCTCCCAACTTACAGCAGATGCTAGTCGGGGCTCTTTTGGGAAAACCTAGATCAAAAATGGCATCATTCAACTGAAAGATGTCTGGGACACTCAGGCTAACGACTGGGTCTCATTGGAAGAGCTAAAATCCAAACTTCCAAGAATGCATAACCTCGCAACTAACTTCACAAAGATTCAAGCAGCGATCCCCGCTCACTGGGTATCTTCACTAAAACCCTCTGCAAACTGGCTCCCTGGTGCATGGTTGAAGGACCCGAGTGAGGAACACACGGTGTGGAAAGTTATAGGCCCAAATCTCAGGCCAGGGACCAGAGCCCAAAAATGGCAGTTGATTCGCCACCATTCGGCAGATGGTTTGTTAAAGTTCTGTGAGGAAACCCTTCTTAATCTCACGGAGGAGTGGGAGGAAGCCCGTGTTTGGTAGGTTTCAGGCATCAAGAAACCCATCTGCAAGTTTCTCCCTCTGATGCCAAGGGACATAAGCATGGAACCTCTGCTGTTCGGATGGAATAATACCGTACCCCCTTCAGGGGTCTCCCGCTTAAAGGGCCCAACCCCCTGATATGCTACAAGCCTAAGACGGGGTTTAGGGCCCTCAGAAGCAAACTGAAAAAGAACCCCATAAAGACTATTAACAAGAGATTGGAGGCACAACAGGTCCAACAAATAGAAGAACCAGATTTAATCAATCTTTGGAAAATTCTAAAAAAAATGTCGTCCCAACGCAACGCAACTATTCTCTGGCTTCAGTCTCTACAGGTTACTCCGACATCAGTCTGGCTCAAATCCAAAGGGATGGATATTGCGGAAACATGTGTGAACTGCAATTGGGCCTGGGAAACGGCCGCTCATCTTTGGATCCACTGCCCCCATTCACAGAGGGTATGGGAATGGTGGAAAGAGAGGTGGAGTAAGTTGGGGCTCCCTGACAGGTGGTGGTCAGACAAGTTTATCCTTCAGGGCATTCAAGATGATCAGGGTCAGATTGCCTGCGGAGTGAAATACATGGCCAATATTCTCAGAGGACCTGGAAGCAATATGGTGGAGGAGGAATCAACTCCTGTTCAGGAACGAAGAAAAATGTCTGCATCATGTATTCAACAGGATCCTAGTGGAAATCAGGACAACAGTACAGGCTGACTGGAGGGCCAAAAGTCGCTCATGGTTTGTGAAAACCTGGGCGCTAAACAAGNGTGGAAATCAGGACAACAGTACAGGCTGACTGGAGGGCCAAAAGTCGCTCATGGTTTGTGAAAACCTGGGCGCTAAACAAGGTTTGTGCCTCGATTTCAGAGGAGGGCAGTCTGTCCTTGGCAGGTTGGTTATTAAAGGATCACGCGCCCTGAGCAAGGATCTCAGGTTGTCATAAGCTTGCATTAGATCATGTAGATAAGGCTTTCCTTTTTGCTGGTTGTTTCCTTTGTTAGTCCAGTTGCTGATTTTTTAAGCATTTGCTTTATGGGGCGCTGGACCCGGTTTCCAACGCGAGCCTAAGCTGGGTATTGGCCCCAGTTTTTCCTCCGGGTTGTCATGTTGAGGTTTTCTCGGCCTCTACCCCTTTTAAGGAAATAAAGCAATTGTTTATTAAAAAAAAAAAAAAAAGGTGGCAAAGCAAGGGCAAATAGAAAGGGCGCAACGGTGGCAAAGCAGGGGCAAATGGAAAGGGCGTGTGGGGCCGGGGCCAGGGACTGAAAAGTCCGATTGTCTACCGCGTGGGCGCGGGGAATGCAACCATAAGGTAGCCAAATCAATGAAACTAAGAGCTAACAAAAGAGAGAGAGAGAGAGAGAGAGAGAGAGAGAGAGAGAGAGAGAGAGAGAGAGAGAGAGAGA